GTTCAAGTTCAGTTCAATTTTGAACTGAACTTGAACTTGGCCAAAAGTTCAGTTTAGTTCAGTTCATAGGAATACTAATTACAGGGTCTTCATTGCTTTAACCTTTTGAATTTCTACTCACTTGGCTTATCATACAGACTAGAGGTAATGTTCCAGATACTACTACTTCTTCAATTCATCACCTTGACAACTACAATAACCACACAGTATATTAATTAGAACATTTTATTTACTAAACAAAAACTTTATTATTATTTTATTGCTATTAGAGATCACTATCTTTAAATACAAGATTATTGCCAGATATATTATTACTCAGGTCATACATATTATGCAATATATACAATTAAACTATAAATTAATTTTATGCAAATCTGTATCATACTACTTATATAAATCTCAATCCTGATTGTATCTGTATACAATGAATTTCTGGAATATCAAAATACATTAAGACAGTATCTATCTCTTTTGTTTCATAAAATTTTTATAATTTAATAAAAATATATTCCTGCTTAGAATACTTAAAGACTATAATTTTTAAATCTTGTATTTTATTTTAAATTTATATAGTACTTATAATAAAAATGAATATATACTATATCAGCTTTACTAAGTTATTCTAAATAAAATAAAATTATATTAGTATAACCAAAATACAAGCTTTGAATTATCTAATATCAATGTTTTTTGTTAGTAAGAACTTTGTAATATTTCATTATATTTATCAATTTCTTTCAAAAAGGGTATTACTAGAGTGTCAAAATTGGCTATAAATTTGTTATTATCTAACTTGTGTTCATACAAGGTCAGAGCTTTTTCAATTTTTTTTTATAATGTATATATATTTTTCTTGTCTTTTTTCAATTATATTGTGGTGTGTTTCTACTAATATATTCTGTAAGTTTTGTAAATTGTTACTACTCTTCTCAATAGGATTGTCTTCTGCTAATATTATATTAAACTGGATCTATGGGTTATTTATAGAAGTGATTGGTAGTAACTCATTTTTGCCAAAAACAAATAAAGAGAAATTATGTTATCTTTATATCTCTGAAAATTTAAGTATAAATTCTTTTTTATTTTTTTTATAAACAAGATGTTTACAGAGATAATAATAACTATGAATATATGCTGGGCAAGAACATATCTAGTTATTAATATTAATATAATATCGTTCATTTGCATCAAGCTAGATTTCTACTTTTGTAGTATTGATCCATTCTGCTTTAAACTTATACCACCACAATAGAAAAATTCTATTTCTATTATATATGCTAATTTAATTTTGAAGTTTGGAACAAGCTGCTTAGCTATTATTTGAATAAGTTGATCTATATGAGAGAGATTATAGTTATATTTATAGTTATATTTTAAAATTCACCAATAGCTTTCAGTGATTATTGTTATACTTGCAAAAGATATAGCCTGTGAATATGAAGACTGAGCACATAGCTTCTAGTCTTTTTCATTATACTAATTGGTTTACAAATAACTTTATAGCTTATTAAGATTATTTGAATAACAAAATTAGTATATTTCTTGAACACAAAAATGATAAATCTTTTACAAATTTATAAAAGATTTCTTGTTTACTGGAATAAGTAGATGCATAATTGTATGTTTTTAACTAACTAAAAAAATTATTTAATTAGATTATCTAAACAGAAAAATCTAGCACTACTTTGAACTTATAATAGGTCTATAAACTCAAACTTATAGTAAACTTCTAATGCTTTATTTGATAAATATATAATTGCTTTAATTTTTTTTCTTTAATCTTTTTGTCAATAAATTGCTTGACATGCTAGCAGCAAGTTAAATATTAGCTATTAATAACCAAGCTTTCTGAGCTGCTAATATTTTATCCACATCTTTGTCTATTAAAATAAATACTGGCAGCAACCCTTCTTATTTAAGACTTGCAAAAATATTTGTATTACTTCTATTCAAGTGTTTATAAAATTTCTAGAGTTATGCTGAGATTCTTCACTACTATTTAATATAGTAAGATACAAATATGCTACTGGTATTTCATATATACCACAATTTAAATTTACTATAAAAGGTTCAAATCATTCTTAATTAGTCTTAAAGGTGGAATCTACAATTATTTTAGTAGATTTATTTGTTTCAACAAGCTTAAAGAGTGGTGTAAGAAAACCTAAAGCCTATACAAAATCATTTTCTAGGTAATTTAAAATTTTAAATCCTTTATTATTTAAATTTGGTTGTTCAAGATTTAATTTTACTGATAAAAAAGAATTTTCTTGATTTTTTATATAGATTTTCTTATTGAGTACAGATATCTAGTAGTATACTTGCTTGACTATATAAATCTTTGGATTGATTAGTTTATCTGTACAGAGTAGGTAATAAACTTCTATTCTTCATAAATTATATAATTTAATAGACAATATAACTGTCATCTGAAGATGATCTGCAAATTTTTATCTTTTAAACCATCCACTTAAGCAGACAAATTTGCCTACTTAAATATTTTAACAAAAATAAAGCATAAAAAAATTTTTTTATAAAAATTTTGATTCTAATTGGTTATAGTGATTTCTAAAAGCTCAAGCCACATGCTATATTCAATAGCCACAGTGTGATATACTCAAAATAATTCAAACAAAAGACAAATTCACACAAAAGGTATGAAATATGCTATTTTAACCAAGCTTTTGAGTTACCTTATCTTTTTTGCATTATTTCAAAAAATTAATTCTATAAAGTTAGTTGTAAAGAATCTTTGGCCAACTTTAATGTTATATTATAAAAGATATCTCTGTATGATGATCATGAAGATCATTTATAATTGTCATATACAAGTATCATTTTTACTATTAAATTTAATCATAAAGATCATAAAAAATTATATGATAATTAACCATACTTAGATAATTTTAAAATTTTGTTGAGGAAATTTTACCAAATAACAATTATATAACAACTAGCATATAGTGTTCTTTTATTCTAGTTAAGGGATTATAGATGTGTGGCTTAATAAAATTTGGAGAAATTGTACAATAATTGGTCAAAAAAACTTTAAACAGGCAAATTTGTCTGCTAGACAGTTTAAGGAATAAATAAATTTTACTATTGAGCCAAATGTTAAGTGTTCCAATCTAAAACTTTTTTTTTACTAAATAAATTACTCTTGTGCTTTTAACAAAAGTTGTAGAGCTCATCAAGACACATCTAACTATAGTAAGAATGTTAAAATCAGCCTTGCGTTTCTTAAAAAATCTTTAAAAAATATTTTGCCAACATATAAAATTTCTTTAAAAAAATTGATTTTTTTTAAAGAAATTTTATGTTAATAAAATGTTTTTAAAGATTTCTCAGAAACTACTAAGCTAATTTTAATGTTCTTATTACTATTAGATGTATTTTGATGAGCTCTACAACTTTTGTTAAAAGCCTAAGAGTGATTTACCTAGTAAAAAAAAATTTAGATTGGAGCACTTCACATTTGGCTCAATAGTAAAATTTACTTATAAAAATTTGCAGATTCTCTTCAGATAACAGATGTATTATCTATTAATATTATTTTGAATCTATTTTTTTATATTTACAGAAAATTTAACTTGATGATATGTTGGGTTCTTATGTGCTATATTATGATTTTCTTGTATAAAAACATATTTATTTTCTGAGATTATAGTAATTTGATTTTTCTTATACAATTATATCTATTTATTGGAACTCTGATTTTACTATACTATTTGGGTATCTAGTTATTTGGCCTTATTCAAGCTCTATCATCTTATATTATATAGCAAAGATATACTGTAGCAGTACCTATAAATTTTTTTTATAGTTTTTTAGTCATATTTTTCTTATTTCCCAATAATAGCCAGAGCCAGAGTCTAGTAATATAGTAAGTATTTTAGCAAGCTAGTTGAATCTCTTTTTAATTATTTTTAAATTATTTATATTAACTAAATCTTGTTAAGTTAAAGCAATAGTATTAATCAGATCTTTATCTAATTTAATCTCAAAGACAAATTTTACTAACTCATTAGATTCTTTTGCATCTTCAAATAACTTTGAAGTAATTTACATATTTTATTCAAATTATATAAAAGTAGTTTGGAATTATTGTTATTTTTATCCTTCTGATTATTATCTTTATCCTAGTTGCTATCTTTATTCTAACTACTATTTTTATTCTTGTAGCTATCTTTATCTTGGTTACTATCTTTATTTTTTTGGTTGTTATCTTCAGTATTAAAACTCTCATATAGTGCCACTTATAGAAGATCATTAGTAAAATTTATGCTCTTGATTATTTGTAAATCATTGCTTGCACTTGAGATATAAGTAATATTGCTATTGCTTTGGGCTATTTTTTGATTTTTTGATATATTAATTTTTTTTCTTGCTATTTATTCTTTATTTTTTTAGAATATTTGTTATATATAGCATGTTCATATTGTGATTTGGTAGCTAAAGAGCAACAAAAATAGATAATTTCTTTTGTTATATAACAACTACTACATAATTTTTTAACAAGGTTTTGAGTAAGGTCTTGAATAAGGTTTTGAGTAAGATCTTGAGTAAGGTCTTGAGTAAAGTCTTGAATAAGATCTTG